ATAACTGACTGTAGTCATTATCTGGGGTTACCGCTATCACAGCTGAGTGAACCCATCTTGGGGTTCATCTTAGTTGGCCAATATCTTCCTCCTACAAGGAATTTGGAAAAATTCTCCAAGAAGAAACCGCGAGGCGTCAAATTTGGTGATTCATGGAGCGAAGTGACCAAACCTGAGTTGTGGAGAGGGAAATGGGGCCCTGTCATCTCACCCAGAAATCACCATATCTGACGCCCCACAACTTTTCTTGGGGCGTTATGTAACAAGGTGCACTGAGAAAATGACAAGCTGACACAGTAGATCCCTGCAGCTGTTGATAACCGCAGAGATGGGCTCAAATAAATTGCGGTCTATATATCTGTCGTGACAGAAAATGAACGGAAGTGAAAATTACAGACAGAAATTATTCGATTTAAATTTAATTTCAGTGAACTACATTTTTAATATAGGGTAAGAAAAAACTGACACCCAAAACTTCGGCGTGACATTCTGGGCAAAATGTATGATATTAACAAGATTTTCAAAGCATGAACGAGATATTAATGTGTTTGTTTGGTATGTTCTGGAAATCTGTAATCACTTATTGACAGCTTATCGAGTGGGTTACTAGCATTCCCGTTACAAGGCTAATATTTTGTTGTGCACTGGTAATTCGTTTAACCTAAAATGTTTTCCATTCACTCGGCTGAGCTTGAGCTCCTGCAAAAAAAAAAATACAATTTATTAAATTATCTTACGGCTCACTAGCTCCATGCATGAGAACTTTTCCGAAAATCTGACAGATACTCAGCAGCCCAAACTGGTCACCCGCATTCATGACAGCCTGTCACTGCACCGTATTCTGACCAAGATGAATAGAGTTCTAAACCCTCACACCTTCGCCCCTCATCTTCCTTACCCTCTCACGCTCTCTCACATATTTCTATCTTCGCCTAGGTCTCCCAAGTTGTCCTTTTCCTTCAGTTATTCGCATCAACCGACCAAATGCTATATGTATTTATCATATGCTCATATGCGTGCTACTTTACCACGAGCAAAGTTTTAAATCAAGCACAATACAAGAGGGTAAAATTTTCTCTGTACTTAACTAATTAAGCATTATGCCATGAAGGCGTATGGGGAGTGGATGTATAGACCCACATTTTATTGACCTCGGCACTAGTTGGAGGTAAGTAGTCAGCTTCACGCCCCAGCCGCTTTAGCCCCGGGGAAAGAGCCCCCGGTAGTCATTGTATGGGAGGTTGGGTGGACTCCAGAGCCGGTCTGGACAACATGGAGTAGTGGAAGTTCTTGCCCAACTGGGACTCGAACTCCGATTACTCCGTCCTCCAGCCCGTAGCCAGTCTCTGTACTGACTGAGCTAACAGTGCAAAAGGGTTAGGCTATGTAAAATGAGTGCGGAGTTCTAAAGTTCTTTGAACATTACAAATTTTTTTGGGGGCCTGCTGTATAGTGTATTTCAATTTACTAGGACCGAATACTAGTTTACCACAGGTTAACAATCCTTCAGTCTGAGGCAGAGGGTCTGAACATCTCGTTATTTCTCTTAAGATAAATTCTCTTCAATACATCACATGTGTACATAATATGCTAAAAGAAGACCATTTAAGCAAGAAGAAATTTCTTTTCTCAATATTAAGAGGAAAGATAAATGTGCAAGTACAAAAACACACTAAATTGATTCTTCGACCTTCCTCCTCCATCCATAAACTTCCTTTGGAACAGTCCCATGTGTCTTTCCCTCTATCTTTATTAGAGAGTCATACTAATGACTGGGAACCTCCCCAACCCTTAGTGAGGGAAGAGGCAAGCCTGAGAGCAAACAAGCAGAAGCTGCATTGTGGAAGGAAAGAAAGGGCTATAAAAAGCAAGCAAAGAACATTTATACTTCCGCTAGCAGACACAGGCAGCCTACGTTGTGATGTTTTGTAATTGAAACCAAACCAAGCTAAGAACAATGGAAAGGGGTGGGGTAGCATTGATTGAGGTGGCCTGCAGCCGAAAAGACGAGCAGTCCGCAGCTCTACCAGAACATCTGAGAACAGAAGTAAGTAATTTGTTCTTCTTTGCCTTCATGACATACGAGTAATATAACGCATTTCATTAAAATTATATTGTGTGTGGGAATGCGAATGTGATATGATATACTATCTGGTGCTCCAGTTATATCGACATTCTAGACGAAGATTATATTAGGAGCTGGTTAATATTAGGAGTACTATCTACAGGTAGGTGATGGTATTACCGACGTTTCGGAGGAATGTACTACCGCCACATCAGCGTCAAAGGGCAGGCTACGTAACCAGCAATAAGCATGTAGCACTCTGCTTGCTTTATGACGGTTGTTCGCTTGGTTTACTCTTCGACCATGAAGATGGAGACAGTAGGTTCCTCCGAAAGTTATATTACATTATGTAAAACATGTCACCACAGGGAAAGACTCAAATCCAAACAGGCCAATATTTTTTTTCAGAACCATTTCAAATGTTTTAATTTCGTTTGTGACCCACTTTCATTAATTTGATGCTTATTGAAATTGAAATTGAAATTGAAATTGAACATATTTTGAAGTAGAGCAAACAAATTTTGGGAGCAACACATTCCTACGGCGAGAAGCCCTTCGCGGAAACTTTGGAGAGGACAACAGTGCGAAAAATTATTTTCCTTGTGCAATTATAAATTGTGGCTCAACAACAATGACTTCTCGAGCTGGGCAAATGATCATCAGTCACATCTACGATAGACTGTGGTTTATAGCGTCGTCGTGTCGAAAGCTGTTTTAACCTATACATCAGGGGTGTCCAAAATGTGTCGAGACGATGCTTCGCGTGGTTCGCGAAGTTAAAATTAAATAACTACAAATTTCTGTATCTTATGAAATTGTCGCAAAAGTCATTTCTGTTTATATTACAACAAACACATGTTTCAGTTACATATTTTTCTTTCGTACGGTAAAAGACAAAGTCATGATTTTAAAAGAGTTCTCAGCTAAATCAGTTATTGTCTTACTGGGTTGCCGTATCAAGTCTTTCAGAAAAATTGGATCATATATTTAGAGAGGCTGAAATCCCATGAAACGGAAAGTATTGAACTCTGTGTGTGTGTGTGTGTTTGTGTGTAGCTCTTCATTACTTAAAAATAAAAGATTAAAAAACGACTTCTTAGTGAGTAGCGACGGCCGCGCCATAGCTCAAGCGGTCAGTTGTGCTGGCTTCCCACTGCGGAGATCCGGGTTCGATCCAGGGTCTGGTCAAGTGGGATTTGTGGTGGACAAAGTGGCGCTGGGGTATGTTTTCTCCGAGTACTTCGGCTTCCCCTGCCAATCTTCATTCCACTAATTGCTCCGCAATCACCCTCACTTATCATCTGGGGCAGGTACAACAGGCCAGAAATTGCCGCAGTACAAGGGACTTAGTCCCACCCCACTAGCAATAAAAAAAATAGTGAGTAGCGAACATTACTTTTCAGTTTCACGAAAGTTTCTTAGTAATATTTTATGACACATATCGAGTTTTTACTCCTCGATCTTCTTCCATTTACAACCCATGGCAGAGGGCCTAGCGCCTTCTCCACATAACTTCCATTTCATTATTAACTATCATTCAGTCGTTTGCCATTTATGTGTATATTCTGAATCACTGACAGCGCTGTCAAACAACCAACCAACAAACATAATAATAACACTATGAACATACATTCCACCTTTTCTCATGCCCATTTTGTAATCTTCTCTTCTACTAACATGCAACTTGGCATTTTCTGCATCATCTCAGTGCTCAGTGTGCTGTCAATGGCAACAGTAAAAACTCTAAATTTACTGTCTACGTACCTTCAAACATGACATACCTCATACCCTCTAAATGAAAGGATATTATGCTTTATCTGGAATTAAAATGATATATCAGAATACTTACCAGGTTCCTCATAAGCGAGTGTTCCCACTTTCTGATTCATCCTGTGGATAAACCAGTCTGTTCATGGAATCCAGTCCTGCCATAGTTTCTGCTGATCATGTTTAAAACTAGACGGTCTATAAGTAAAATTAAGTGGCAGGTTAATTCCAGGTCTTTTAGAGTATGTGATACTTATATTGATTAGAAATTAAGAAATCATTATATAAGATTAATAACTTATTATCAACGTGAACCAAATGCTTAAATCAATAACCATGTATTCTTCAGTATGACGAAGCAGTGACCACGCTGTTCCCTATGGAGATGTCTCAGAATTACTCAAGAAACATATCTGTAATGAAACAAAATTTCAACTTTAATATCATATATTTTATAACGATTGTTCACGTTAGAAGAATGGTATTCAATTTCCAGTATGTTCAGGGATTCTTGTCTTTGCCACCACATCCAGATTAGTTCTGGGGCCCTCACATCCTATCCCATGGGTACCATGAACAATTTGCCCGGGAGTAAAGTGGTCAGAGCCGGAAGCAACCAATCATCTTCCTCTACTGCCAAGGTCAAATAATTAATGGAGTTACACTTCTATCTTTACTTCACGTTTTATCTTCGTGACATTATATATACAGGGAAAGCTTTACACTTTTTTAACTTTCATGCAAGTGACTGTATTTTAAAAGAGAGCGACAGTAAATAAACCAGAGAATTGTAAAAATATACGGTGTAGAATTAAAAGGCAAATTCAGAAGACATATTATTCGATAAAATAACTGAGAACAGGATGAACTCGTAAAATGTTTAAATTTCCACCCTGAAAACTGTACCATAATTTTTTCTCTTGTTGCAAAACCCCAAAACCTGAAAGTGATAAATGAAGTAAGTATTTTTCGGATTGTACATTGCTGTCAATGAACTATAATCAGTTCCACAAAATGTGTATAGAAAATATATCATTATTAAATTAACAATANTTCTTAACAATACACAAATTTATGTTCTCTGTAGCTACAGGAATGGGCTACTTTTGACAGAAGACCTAATATATTTATTTATGGCTGTATACTAGAGCAGTTTAAACAAGAAAAGTTGATCTTAATAACACATCTTTATTGAATGTTACTCTTATTTTCATTTACGATACGGTACATTTGTGGCACTTTACATAAAAAATTGTATTTGAATAATTTTTGTTGTTAAAATTGTTTTGAAACAAATAATTGTAATTGTATATAACCATTTGTGATTCCATCCAGTACAGACCATCAACAGACAATGTGGCACTTTACATAAAAACTTGCATTTATTCGAAAGTTTCTATTTCTTGAATTGTCTTCCGAAATGAATGAATATATAAACAGTAGTAGATAACATGTTCATCATTTTCAATTTTCGTGGCACTATTATGTCCCTTCTATTGTATGTATCAGAATTATATTTTATCTTACAAAACCATCATCTTCTGTAATGACTGAAGAGGTAGCAGGATGGAGAGGGGAACAGTGCAGTACCCAGAATTGTGTGTTCACTAGTAGTACTTGAGTGGCCTGATGATCACTTTCGTAGAAACTGGATGACTAGAGATACTGTTCTTTTCTAGCACAGTAAGTACCATATAAAAATTACAACCGTTGAAATAATTGTTCTTGGATATTACAGAATGAGTGACACTATTTATGATTAGGCCTATATTTACCCTAATCTTATCATACAAAATACTGCATATCTTTTTGCTCTTGAAGAAATGGATGTTTTATATATATGTATTATTTGTCTAGGTCTCTTTAATTTCCTTGTTTATTTTACTATAATCAAATGTGTCAATATAAGCTTATTTATACTGGGCAGTTCTGAAGCCACATGTAAGAGTTATATGGAATTTCAAAATTAAAATGAGATATTTTCTTATTTTTAATAATTCCTGTTCACATAGATGCAATTGGACTTACTATGTCAGACAAAGATCACAGTTTATTTACACATAATTTCCATGTTGTTTGCATTATTAAATATACAGAATTATATCCAAAACAACATATACAGGGCACCAAAATTTGTTACCTCAATCCTGCTGCAAGTTCAAAGTAACAGTAATGCAACAATATGGCCGAAATGTAATTCGAAGTCCTATATATACCTTCTTGAAAATGTAAAGTTATATGTCTCTAGTATGAGGACATTTATTTTGTTGACAGGATTATTAGTTGTGTTTTGGAATGAGTATGAACATAAATATGCAAACAAATCATAATCACAGTTTATTAAAATATGTACTTTTTTTCCTTGACACTACAGCCCCAGTGGGCCTAGGCCTACCTCCATGAACTTCTCTGTTCACTTCGGAAAATATGTACTTACCTCGACAAGAACAACAGTCAAGTTTAACATCAATGTGAACGAGGATAGGCCTCAAAAGATGGAATATACTAGGCAAAAATCATACTTAACGTTTTGTTCAATGTCTTCCTTCAATAATTTATAGATTAAGTATACATGTACAAGGGAAAAATATAGCGAATTCGCTCAAAAATTAATTCCCTTCATGGACGGGATTAAGTATTTTACACTAAAATCATTTTTAAAATTGTTGTCAATGTTTTTTTTTTCATGCAACCTCCTCGTTTTATAACAGTTCAACTTTCAACTCTCTTGGAAGAATGGAAGAAGTAGACTTCAGTTCAGAGTTTCATTATGAACAAATAGTCCCATCTGGTAGTATCACGTCAAATTGTGGAACAAATCTATGTGCGTTTTACCAAGTTACAGGATCATCTAGATGTTCTGGGCGTTTGTCAAAAATTGAATCATTCATCCAGCACAAATGTACACATTAAAATTAGTAGAACAATTAAAGAAAACACATACAAAGTAAATGCCATTATGTTAACAAAACTTAGTAGTTGCTCTTGCATTATTAATAAACACCGATTATTGAAAAAAAATTAAATTAATATAGCATACGAAATTGCTATTTGTATGGGATTCAGCTATAGCATGTACGTTGTATCTGTTATTGAAGCACTATTATTGTAGGCCAATTTTATTAAAACAATTAATTAATTACTGCTTATTCATTCATATATATTTTCACTCTGTCTCTGAAATAACAGTATGCAATTATCTTGACGTAAATTCAGTGACATTTTTGTATGGCTTTCTTGATTAGTACTATTATAACTTAAAATACGGCAGAGCCGTAGCTGGGCATTGACCTTGATATTTGTTGTGTTGTTACGGTTAATAAAGAAGTCGTGTAAAATACGAGTATCTCTGTAAAATTCAGCACAGCAAATATTTTGCACATTTTGTATCTTATGTACTTGAAAATTCTTTCTTTACTTGCAAAAGTTCTGGAAGTTTCCATTTTATACTACTTCATACATAATCATTTATTGAGAACACTGGTTAAATTACAAACGTAACATTATGAACATTTTGTAGTATTCTGTAGCATAACATAACCACTGTAAATTTATATTGAAACTGAAGAATTTTCCTGTAATATGAACGATTTTATGTCAAACATTTATTGATTCAGTCGGAAATGATAGAATTTGAAATAGTACAGAAATATATATGCATTTTAATATACTGCCCCGCTTTACTGGGTTGAGAATTTTGTTCTGTTAAGTGATTTTCTTGATGCCATTCTGCCTGAATAGTTTACGTTTACACAATTAGTGGATATTTGATATGATGAATGGATCTAATATATGACCTAATTTAATATTTCAGCTCAACAGTTTACTGCGTATGTAAACACACTACAAGCTGAGCCTTCATGGAAAATTAAAAAAAGATAACAGTAATGAATATGGACTCACAGGTTTCAATTCTCTGTTCAAAATTATCGAGAATAATGCTATACAGAAGTACTATGTGTCCATTTCAGAAGTGTCTCCTTACAACACATTCCCTCAGGTAACCATGTGGGGGATTGTGACAGTATTAAATCAAATGATCCTGCAAAGTGTTGCCAGTTTACATCAATAAACATGAAAGGAAATGTTTGGTAAGGTTATCCATCAACACAGATAACCAAACATATGCTTATGACACACAACAAGGAGCACCCTGTGAAAGTGAAAGGAAATATCACCTACTTTTAAATCCTTTACGATCAGAAAAGTTCAGTGTCAAACCTGGAAATGAATTAAAATATCATTGAGAGATAATATTCAACTGGGGTTACTGGTAATGGTGGCAACGTTGATCACCAAAAAATGGTAGAAATATCAGAATTTGTAAGACATCTACACTATGTATTTATCAACAATCACTTCAAGTAAACGGTGTTCTTAATTAACTGAATGAGTTCAAACAAAGTGTTTAAAATTTCTATAAATGTATAATAATAAAAATTATGCAACTTTTTGGCCTGTGTCTCTGGTGACCCTCGCTCGATTAAGAACGGTCTGATTGTTTTAATTTAGAAATTAATTTTAAGCTCCGGAGCTTGAAATTTAACAGTCACACTGATTTTCAATACGATAATTTAAATTTCTCGATATGGCTGTATGAATTACATTTCTGCTCTATGAGAGCACAGAAGATCCAGTGTTAACATCCTGAATACTGCTACTCATGAGCATCATAATACTGGCACTGCAAGTTTAACACTTCCCGCGTTATAACATATAAATCACACATTGAAAAAAAAACAACTCTTATATCGATGATTCTAGTTTCTAATTCAAAATTGTTTGTGCGTGAATTAAGAGAGATATGTAATTATAAACTTCAAAACATATTTTTTTATTCCTACTATTACATCTGATAGAAGCTTAGGCGTGGATTTATTTTCCTTTATAATGGCAAATGATTGCTAGAACATAACAATCGTAAATAAATACATTCAGTAGACGTCTCAAAGAAAGAATCTGATAGAGTTGGGAAATATCTGAAAATTTAAAATGCAAATGGGACGTATCTCTTTGTGTACTTTCATTAGGAGATTTTTCAGTCAGATTATCATTATTTTCAGTTTATAATCATATCGTTTTAGGCAAAGATAGTCTTGCTGTAACAATATTATTAATAGTTTTCTGCACTACAAATTTTATAATGTTACTTTTGTCATTAAACAAATATTCGTGTTCATATTGACTTTACATGCGATTAAAAAATTCTAGCAGAAAATCCAGTAGGTACCAAACGTTTTCTCCATCAGTCCGTGTTGCTATAGTTTTAGTATCGTCCTGTTACTAAGTAACCTGGCTATACACAACTTTCTTGCTGGCTGGACATGAGCGGTGTCCTGACGGTGACTATTTCGCGATGGAGCATGGAGGGGTGTGTGAGCGGAGCGCAGGTGACGGGTGACACCAAGGGGGAGAGTGCAGTGAGCTGTGGAGTGTTGCATCCCTGTTGTATAGGGGGTGGCGGCTGAGGGCGACGTGTATGATCAATCTGAGCATAGATAGTTGGCTCTTCTCTGCCCCTTACGACACCTGCAGCACCCCCAACTCCACCCAACACCACCCCACTGCTAACTTTACAGTTGCCACCACCAAGTGTTGGATCCTGAAGAGTTGTAGGTCTTGTTAGGCAGAGTTCTGCATATGTGACTTCTTCTGATGACTGTAAATAAAGATAATAAAACATAGACATATGTGACAACATTTTTAAGGGAAAAGCGTCAATTTCTGACCTACTTAAAGTATGGGAATTACATCATCATAGTAATATAACAAAGGTCTCATATTTACACTGCTTTCCCCTATTTATTGGCATATATAAGACACTATTTAGAACATCATGGTCAAGAAGGTATGATCCTCCTTCCTATTCTTTAGATTCTGGAATCGAATTTTTGTCCAGAAAGTGGCTGCTGTAATTTAAATTTCTCATGTTTTCCACTAGTTCATCCAGATTAAGTCACAGCCACTTCCTTCCACATCCTTGCCAGTCTATTAATACTGTAATCAAATAATTGTGACATTTAACTGTGATTACTGAAAGCGTATTTAAAAACCAAGCCAAAAAATAAAAAATATAGATCTCTCTAAAATGTATGTTTTCCTGAAGCATACATGCCAATATTTATGGTATGAAATTGAAAAAAAATCCCAGAAATAAAGTTCCAGCAAGTTCACAAATCACAGTCGGGCCTGTGAGCTGTAACTTTTAATAACACTGTCACTTATAGACTAGAAAGTTGGCCATAATGTTCTTTATCTGAGGGGAGATATCATGAAGGACATGGAGTATGACTTTCATGTATGCAAACAGAATTGAAATGTGACTGGCTTACGTTAGAGTTGTACTGGGAAGGACGTATTATATAAATTAATTTACTTACGAACTAGCTATCGTAACAAATTGCAATTCAAGTCTACCGGTATTCCAAACAGCAAATTATATAGCTCAGAAAATGTAATTACTTATTTCAAGAGTTTCAAGCTTGGAAGATATGAGCTTCTTCCCTTCATTATTCTCAAGGGGTCAGAATCAAAATATTGGTTTTGAGAGAGCATATTTCTTTCTGTATTGAAATTAAATAGTTTTGTTTGAAATTAAGTTTGCGAATGTGCACTCATTCAAGCAAATATAATGCACCCTCTCCTCTGTATTTAATTTATTCAATATGTAACTCAGCTGTTCATACACTCATCTGCAATATTAATTTTATATCATTCATTCATTCTACTTAATTGTTTCATCCATTTGTTTCTTCATTTACTTCTCGGATCTGTCATATAATCTTCATATAACAATCTTCGTTCACTTTATCAACCGATTTATACATACATACATACTAGTTTTCTGTTCTTCGTGAACTGTATTCTCCACTTATCTACGAATATCTCTTGCTGTAGTGTCTTGGAAAGAGAACAATTAAAAAACTGTTTTCGTTGGCATGCAACTTACCGGATGACCCGTTGGAGGATATCTGTCGCGGCTATTCTTGTAGTTTTCGAAAAGGTCTCCGTTCCTAGAGACATTGTTGCGTTTGGGATGTTCATCGTAAGAGGGCAAATCAGGCGGCGTCTGATTATTGAGACCAGGCGTCTGAGCCTCAGACACCAACTGATAATCGGAGTCTGCAAGCAAGACGCACAGAATAAACTCCATTTAAGATTTTTGGATTTCACGGTGATGAAGATTGGGTTCGTGGTTTTGGGGGGGGGTTGACAATATGTAGCCTCACAGCTGGTTACCGAAGTTATAGGGGACCTGTTGCCTCCATTTCTGTGGTATAGATAATGCTCTAACAATATTGTGACATGTTGAGCTATGGATGACGCCCCTCCCCCCGCCAGCCGTGATGCACCGAGCGAAGCCGAAGTGAGCCGATGTTAGCCGAGTCCTAGCATCCTGGTCGCTAGGCAACGCGAGTCAACAGCGATGACGTCACCAAGTGTACCGCGAGTTGCTAGGCAGCACGGGTAAACAGGATTGCGAGAGACGACGGTGGTAACAGCGGTTACTACCGCTAGCGTTACTAGCAACACAGCGCCAGGCAACAAGGGTGCCTATTACGTGGCCGTTTTCCGTATTGTCCGATCAAGGCTACATAAGGAGCAGCGAAGGCTATTCACAGTCAGTTGTACTGAGTCAGCCAGTCAGTGCGTCACCAACGAGTTCTCAGTTCGCAAGTTACGAGCTACAGACGCGTGTGCGATAACCAGTGATAACCAGTTATTTCAGGGAGACTTGTATAGCTCCCGCGTTATTAATACGTGAAGACTCTTGAAGATAGTGTTAAGAGATTTTGTTGTAGGGTCTGTAAAGTGTGGAAACCCGTAATATTGTGATAATTAATTGTAGCCGTTATTTGAAGATTGTTAAATTAACCAATTAACCATCTCTACGGCGTCTTCTGTAACGAAACACGTTACACTGGTGTCAGAAGTAAACACGTTACAATATACATCTATGAAATATGTAAAATTTTTATATTAATTTCTTAAAACTACCAACATATTTTGGGGCGCCAATTTACTATCTTACAGACAGGCAATTCAGAGGATAATACGGCCAACAAAATATTAAAGTCCAATGGGAATGATATTCCCGCTAGTAAGAAACATTAGCATTCCATTAGCTTTTTGGTCTGAAGGCGTTAATATATTTAAAATTATTCTAGGGCAAAGAGAAGTAAACAAATGGACCTGCGAGACACTGTTTAAACTTTTGCGTTATTTACAAGTCAAGCGGGGTAGCTCACTCGGTATACCGACGAGTGGTGAGCTAAACGGCTGAGGGAATCGAGATTCGATTCATTGCTGAGGGAAGAAATTTTACTTAAATCGACCTAGTGTCCAAGTTATAAATGCGTGGAGTTACAGCTCCATTCACGCATAGGTCTTCATGGTATGATGCTTAATTAAACACAGGGACAACCTTAACTTACCGTTCCATATTTTTGCATGCTAATCCTGAAAAGGAAGTGACAAGGCAAAAGGATGTGGACTTCCCGATTTCTTAGAATTAATTTCTAGAAGACTGAAATTATGACTTTCAAAAAAGATCAACAGTCATGGTCAGGGCTCATTCATGTAAATAAACCACTCTGCAGCAGGATATTCCTCCCCCCCTTGCTTCCACTGTGGAGCACAGGGCTGATTTCACAGTTTCATTGATCATTTTTACAGACGATAGGACTCCTTGGATGGGTGATAAACTCTTCGCAAGGCCGCTACCTAAACACAGAACAACACAAATACAGAATAAACGCAAACACCAAACATCCATGCCTTGTGTGGGTTTCGAACCCACGATCCCGGCTTCCGAGCGAGCGAAGACAGTACATGCCTCAGAGCTCTCCGCTACCGTGACCAGCAGCAGGATATCAGGGAGATAAATATCAACAATTCTAAACGGAATGGGAGGATTTCATTCTGTTTACGAGTGACTACTTACTCGTCGCGTTGAATGCTGCAGTTTCTGACAGTACACAAAGCCGAACACTTACTCGAACGTGTTAGCAACAAAACGTCGTGAACAGAATACGCATTCACGCCGTCGTGCTGTGCTTGAAGATAAATTTATCCGAATGGACAGCGCCCTTCGGTGAAAGCCAACCTCAGCCGCTCAGCTAGTCACGATATGCCCCAACGAGTGCTACAACGCTGTGTAGTCCGTTAAAATATAACTGGCGTTTCACAGGAATACGTCGCCTCCATCTTCATGTGGAAGAGTAAGCCGAGCAACAAACCAGCATGAAGGATGCAGCAAGCAGATTTCCTTCTTGTTGCCTGATTCAGGCTTCAAATCCTGTAATATAATCCCCGCTTTTTCGGAACCCGAAGGTTCATTACTTCGTTCGCAAGAGGCGCCCGAACATTTAGGCTTTGGTGTTCCTAGAAGTTTCTTCTATTCGGAGTTTTCTACTGATATTTTGTATGCATTTATCATCTTTGCCGTGCGTGCTATAAGCGTCGCCTATCTCATCTTCTTTGATTTCATCACTCTAATAATATTTAGTGAAAACTATTTAGAAATAACGAAGATGCATTCGCCAGCCTCATGCTATTTCCCCAATCAAATATTTTCCAGATCCTGCTATTCTCAGATTCTCTCAATCCGTATTTATCAGTCAGAAAGAGGTAGCAAACCTCAAGCCCATATAAAACATTCAACTTTTACGGTTTTAGATATGATGGCTTCTGAAGTGACTGGTTGCAAGTCTTCCCCTAAAAGAACATGCTCTTTACCTCGCAAAGAACCGAATTCTGATTTTGCTGTCATAACTAACACTGTAAGTGTGCCACATATTCGCACGATTAATTTGCTGCATTAATATCATGGATAAGTTTAAATTTTACCTTTCATAAAGCAAGAAGAATAATCAAAATCTTCAAATCGGCCTGAACAGTCTTTTCAAGGTGCGTGAACCATCACTATCTCAACTCATCATAAATGTCTACTCCCCTTTTACATTACATTGTTTCGCCAGTTAATTCTTTCAACACTGTATTTGAAATTACAATATGATGCAACAGAGAGAAAGAATGAGGCAGGTTAAGTTGAATTTCCCTGCCAGAAGCACGAAGAATGGCACAACTTGTATGTAGAAGGGCATATAGCAAGCCAAATTCATTAGCATGCATTTGAGCCCATTTCCCGACAAGCTTGCTTAACTAGAATATTAATGAAGAGCCATGTCCCTTTCGTGCAATTTCTAAAGCCCATTCGTATTTGGTGATTTGATGTACTGCTTAAGCCGAGAAGGGCTGGATAGCGCACTGTGTTGAAGCAATGTATTACAGTCTGTTGGGAAATCATTTCATTGTTTCATGCCGTATCTTTGCTTACTCTGAGGTCCTCTCAGCCACGGTCGGGCAGGTACTGGGGTGTTCGTGACCCGAGGGAGGCCTGTCAGACAGACTTCGAACCACCTCTATATACAAAACATTTTTCCACCCCTGCAATCATTTTCAAATTCAGCTGACCAGTAAAGGTAAAGGTAAGTTTTCCCTGTGCTTAACTAATTAAGCACTATGCCATGAATGCGTATGGGGGAGTGGATGTATAGATCCACATTTTCTTGACCTCGGCACTAGTCGGATGTGAGTGGTCAGCTTCACGCCTCTACAGCTTTACCCCCGGAGAAAGAGTCCTCGGTACCCATTGGGTAGGAGGTTGGATGATTGACGACGTGGAGAAGAGAAAATTGTGGACCCTATCGGGACTCGAACTCCGACCTCTCGGCCATCCAACCCGTAGCCAGTCGCTATACCGACTGCGCTATCCGGGCTCCCAGCTGACCAATTCAGCTTTTAAAATGATGTAAGATTTGAGGCCTTCACGGCGGTGACTATGAAGAAAGCAGTCTTCTGGGATTTGGCACCGTGTATATGTGGTGTTAACCGACGTTTCGGAGGAACGTATCAGTCTGCTTTTACCGTTCTCACGGTCTTGTCGCTTGCAGATTTCTTATAGTTTTTCTTCTACCCTGAAGACGGAAGCGATACGTTCCTCCGAAACGTCGGTTAACACCACATATACACGGTGCCAAATCCCAGAAGACTGCTTTCTTCATTTTAAAATGATGTTACAACGCTAGTAGTTTAGTGGTTACATTTCTCTTTATTTTTCTTTGTTGTTAGTGGTTCAACCTTTAAGAGTAACACAGACATCTTTAGATTCAGGATTTGACTTGGAAGAATAAATAGCTGAATCAGGAACTTCGATCCTTGAATTAATTTCAGTAAAAGTAACCCAATTAAATTAAGTTTTGAGCATGACTGACAGGGATCTTATATGACAGTGCCTAAAATAAAGTATTCAAAGATAATATTATGAATTCTGCTATAGTGTTATTATAGTTTTAAAATAGCGATTTCCTTAAAAAGTATCACTGCCTAATTGCTACAATGTCCCTCCTTGTTCTTGCTGTTGATATTGCCTCTAATAATATATAAATTCAATTAAATTTACGTATGAAGATTTATCGGGTACCGAAGGCCGACCTCGTTGGTTGAACGGGGCTGATAGCACGCACCAGTACCGGTAGGGTATGGCGACTGGTAGAATATCAAAGGGGGACGTACAATAGACTATTAGTTGCGGTGCATGGGCAAACCCACCACCTCCAATAATAATAATAATAATAATAATGTATGAAGATTTCCTGCCAATGACAATGGCCTCTTACAGGTAAACATCAAAGTACATAATAAATACACAGAAATATAAAAGATAAAACAAATAAAATAAACAAAAGGAAATAAATGGATAATTAATGATAACCTAACAATAAATATACAAACGAAATATATGTACATCCTCCAGAGAAACCGCATTCCTGTTAAAACATAATATAACTGATGTCATATGTCACTAGCAGCGTTGGCAAACCTGGGTGAAGGGTTGAATTTTACGCTATTGCTTACAGCAAAACTGAAATAGTCTCCGATTCGTTTAGTGGTTGTATGATAGCTAATAATCCACAATAGTTTTATTGCCCGAGAAAATATATAATTAACATATTAATAAAAACACAGATTACTGTCCAACACAACGCCTAGAATTAAATATAACGTTAGATAACTAAAACTCCAAATATTAGTTTTAAGAATAAAATGAATAACATTAT